ACTGTGTATGTGTATATATAAGAATATGCAGTGTGATTTCTTGCATATTAAAGCATTAGAATTCTGTTTAGCTGATTAAACACAGCATGTGAAAGATAAAAAAAAAACGTTTCTACAATGCATTTAGGTATAAATTACTTTAAACAAACATAACAGTGAGTCCGGCTCTTCTCCCTGAGAGCTTTACTTTCAAAAAAGCTTCTCAGTAACAAAGACACAAAAAGACGTGTAGGAACACTTTTGCTCATCTCTCCCCCACTTGCGTCGCCTGGCCGGTCTCAGCATCCCAGTGCTCTTTGTGTGGTGACGTCCCCAACAATTCCACCGGGTCCCTCATTAAGACCCAGCCACGGACTCAGGGGGGGACAGATGGGGTTGACTGCTGGGTAAACTTCAGAGAGGTCACCTTCTTCTCCTAGTGTTCCACCTCGTCTCATCTGTTGTTCCGTCCCATCCTCGGATCCTGTCAGCAGACAGTGTAAACAAGCAGAAAGGTTAGTGTTGTTTTCAACCTGAACCTTCGTCTCCCATCAGGGACAAGGAGCGTTGAGCCAATACTGCCAACAATACCATCCTTTCTTCAAAAGGCAGCTTTTCAGATGCTTCAAAAGGGGAAACTTTGCGATTTTGCTGCCTAACTCGTAATGAACAAAAATAACAGTAAAAAAAACAAATTTAGGCACTTATTGTTCTTTATTCTTACATTAGTATATTGTCTAAACACTCTGAATTGCAAACCAACCCAATACTCTGATTGGCTGAAGACTGGAATAACTGTGTTCATAACCTCTGCATACTAATAAAGTAAAAGATCCTATTAAAACTCTCCCTGTGGCCATATTAAAATCTCCTCCATCAAACATCCCTCTTGCCTTTTATAGCACTGCTCTTTCCAGAGTCAGTGTATTGTGTTTCAGTGGTATGTATGAACATATAAAAGCCTTTCTCTGTTCTCCCAGCCATTGTCTGAACTGCATGCTATATGTTGGCTGTCACATGAAAAAGAAGATGACCATTTCAGGTGTCACTATCCCACTGTGATCCATAACAGAGAGCAATTTTAATGCAGCGGTTAATTACAATATGTCAGCCGACCTGCTCTCTACTTCTACTGCTGCAGAGATGCAACTGCACAAACTTACTGCGCATGGAGAAAGTGGTGAGCATACAAACACTCAGAGGCAAACAGAGCAAAAGGTTCTACAGCAAAATAAATAAATAACTAAATAAAAAATAAAAAAACACAAGATAATTTAATTTAGACTCAAAAACTTTGCATAATACAACATGTTAATCTGTTTTTAGTTCACCGAAAAATATTGTATTTATGTGTTTTCTGCATCTGGCAGCTGATTCATTCCTCTGAGAGGAAACTGATGAAAAACAACTTTAAGCACAGAAAGAAAAAATAAGCAGATCCAATTAAATCATGAGGAAAAACAAACGGTGTAGAAAAAAACGAAAGTATGTGGTCCAAAACCTCAAATTCCTTAAAAAAACTTGTGAAGGAAAAGTCAGTGTTACACAGATTACTTTCAAACACAAACTAAATAAGACAGGTTGCAGATCGAAGACTGAAGAGTGATTTGAGACCATTAAAAAACAGATGCTGCTAATGACGTCTCTACAAACTTCCTCAGGTTTTTTATCAAACTGTTTTTTTGTCTTTTGAAACCTTGGTGATTTCAAGTTGGAGCTATTTTTTTTCATATAGTGCCTTATCAAGATTTCAAAGTGCTTCACACTACAGTCATTCTGACACACCGATGGTGGTAAGCTACATTGTAGCCACAGCTGCCCTGGGGCACACTGTTCACCACCAGATCCTCTGACCACAAGCAGTCAAGGCAGGTGAAGTGTCTTGCCCAAGGACAAAAGGACTGAGATGGATGGAAAGGAGGGGTTGAACCAGCAGCCCACAGGTTACAGGACAACTCCCCAATTCACCGTACCACAACCATTTTACAAGGAACCTGAACTGCGTTTCATATGAGTCATTTTTATTTCACCTACTTTGTTGTCAGATTGTCCATTAATACCCAAAAATGCTTTATGCTTGTTTGTGATTACTTCATTGCAGCTATTCCAAAATACGCACTTCAGCAAGTAATTGGTTATTTTGAATATATACTGTATACTAT